GCAATGGAGGGTCGTTAGACAGTGGTAAATAAAAACATGAAAGATTGGCGGGGCTGCTACAACGAAGGTGGAGGGCGGAGACAGGGATGGAAGTAAAAAGAAAGGCTGAGAACAGCAATGGAGCACCACTCGATCCATTGCAGGAAATTACCTACTTAGACGAGCTACAGCCGGAGCATCACCTGCCATATGATATAACCCTATAAGGGAGAAAGAGGACGCCGACCACTATCTTAACAAAAAACATATTTCAAAATTGAGAATCCAAACTCTAATACAACATATATATAGGAAATGATTAGAAAAGAAGGAATGATTTAAGTAAACATGTTGAAAATTTGAAAGAAATCGGAAGGGGAACCACTTGATTCGATTCAGTGCTGTTTTTGCGACCCATCTCTTGCATTTGGTTTGCCGTACTGTGGCGCAACATTGTAGCAGTAACACGGGAAGGAGGGTCCCATATAGCTCCCATGTCACATTAGTCATTTTCTTTTAAAAGAGCTGTTTGGGTGGTTACAAAATTGCTATAACATAACAGAATGAAGTAATGGAAAAAATAGTGGTTTGACAATGGGATGGATTTTAATTGGAAGTATATCATATATTTTCAATGGACAATATGGGGCATATTATTTTGAAGGATAGTTATATAGGAGGGGACAAGGAAAGCCAAATATTTTGTTTTACCTATTTGTTTTAATTTATTTTTTGTTGCATTGCGACAGTATACAAATTTCTGAAGCTAATTTCTAAATCAACTTTCCAATGGAAGCTTCATCTACTTTCTGAACGGATAAGCCATGGTATACGTAGAAGTACCAGTCAAGATTTTGGCAAACAAGGAAAACATAGTAACAAGACAATTCAAATGTTAAAATACAATGAAAGAGTTGGACCGAGTGAGAAGAAGCATTGGGAGGCGACAACAAACAATAGGACACAAAAGCCTTATTAAAGATGACATGCATGAATTTTGTGGACAAAGTTGTTGAGAGAATGTTACAACCTAGAGCCGTATAGCTTTAAATTTTCATTTAGATTTACCCAATTTATTCCTTGTTACGAATTGATGAATAAATCGAGTAAATTTGAGTAGGATATTCTTATGAATCATGCCATTTTTATTGACATTAATTAATAACTATTTGACTTTTATGTGTGTGGATGAAATGAAAATGCTAAAAAACAATCCATTGAAGTGGAAGCGGTTGTATGGTGTGGGCCTTGGGGTGAAATATGATTAGTTTGTGATGTTTGATGTTGGTGACTCTAGTGTTGTGCGATCCCTGTCATTGATATTGAGCTGTTGGTGTTGTATTATCTCTGACTTTGACGACTTGTTAGTGTTATGTGATGTTAACTGAAATTTTGTTGATGTTGTGTGACCTTGAATGGGTGTTGAAGAGGTAACTAATGAAAACGTTAATGCTTAAATGTGGACTCAACTTTTGAGTGCATATATGCTTAATCTACTTAGGAATGAGTACTAGTACTTGGGTCTGGCGGTTTTGTATCTTTTTGACGGGGTCAGGCAACAACGATGTGCTTTATTTGAATTTTTCTATGTAATATTTCCTTTATTGATTTTTGAAATGTCTCTTTTTGTCCTCTCTCGTTTTAACTTGTCAGTAATCATATTCCACTTGGCATACTTTTGTAATAATTTCAACATGAAAATAGTTATACTCTTTTTTATTAGGAGCATAACCAGCAAACACACAATTTTTGGCTCGGGATTAAGTTTTTTATTGATTATGACTATGTGTGAAAGCAGTACGCCTAAATATCTTGATGCAAGGAAAATGAGAGCTTATTTTTTGGATTTTTTTTTTTTTGAAAAACATTAATATGTGTTTCAAAGTTTAAAATCTTATTGGATTTTCTGTTTATGAGAAATGTATCAACGAGAACAACATCCCCCCAAAAATTTTTATGCACCTGATTGGTAAATATTAATGCTCGAGCTATATCCAATAATTGTCTTTCTTTTTTCAGCCAACAAACCAACCCATTTTGTTGACTGTTGACAAGAGCTTTGATGAATCTCTTTTTAAAAAAAGATTTGGCTCAAACTATTTGTGAAATACTACTGGTCATTATCACTACATAATTTTTGAATGGTCGTTTAAAACTGTGTTTATATCATGGTGTAAAAATTTTTAAAAATTATTTCTATTTTAGATTTTTCTTTCACTAGATAAACCAAAGCTAACTTAGTATGATCATCAGTGAAAATCACAAATTATTTTTTTCAGGTTGTACAAGGGTTTTACAAGGATCCCATATATCGCTATGAATCAAAGTAAATATTGTAGTTGGTTTGTATATTTGTTGTAGTTGGTTTGCATATTTGTGTAGAAAACAATGCGCTATGATGCCTAGCAAATTGATACACTTCATATTGAAATAACCATATATTTTTATTCTGAAATAATTTGGTAAACAAGTATTTTAGATGAAGAAATTTGGGATGACCTAATCTATAATATCATAACATAAATTCATTGTCTTTAAAAATATAAATATATTTTAAACTAATATTTCGATATTGTCTATTCAATTCAAGTTCATCGTGAAAATAGTATTTATTTTTTTCTTAGCACTGCCAAACATTCTCACCGTGGTTAGAAACTCAAAACAAGAAGTATAAAAGCTAGGCTGGCATTGATGATCAATAATAATTTTACTAATGGACAACAAGTTACATGGTAGATTAGGAGCATGGAGAACATCACAAAGTGTTAACATTGAGGAGAGTTTGACAGTTCCTATCTCAACAATTTCCAAGCGGGAACCATAAAAAATTTTGACATTTTTATTTCCTGCATAAAACCTATAGGAAGAAAATAATTTAGAACATTTAGTCATGTGATAGGTTGCACCAGAATCAATTATCCATGAATGAGAGAAAAAATAGGAATAACACCTTACAAAACAGTGACCAAATAATTACTCTTCTATATTAAGGTGCGAGAAGGAATCATGGAGAATTTTGGAAATTGAAATACTTTATGCAAATGATTTAATTGCTCCTTGGTGAAAGGGACTGCGTTTGAGTTAGCGGGTAGCTACTGAGTTGCTTCAACAGTGGCTTGATAAGCTCGACTTTCACGCTTTGATTCGCTTTTCAATTTGTAGGTTTACCATGAGCTTCCATCATGTCTCTTTTGCATGCCATAATTTCTTGGAATGGTCGCAACATGGTTTGTTCCGGCCTTCTTTGTCAAAGTTAACACATTTTGACATAAGAGCAGTATTATTCTATTTAATATTAACTGAATTTTTGGTGTTGCACATCATAATTTTTCTCCTAGCCACTTCATATCTAACTTCAAAAAAGACTTCTCAAATTGAAGGTAAATGTTTTCTACCGAGGATGCGACCTCAAACTTCATCTAAACTCCGATTAAGGCTGACTACTTAAATGTAAACTCAATCATTTTTCTCTCTTTTTGTGGCGAACATAATCATTTGAATTCTTCTAGATGTCACCGAAGCATTGATCAAACTCCTGCCATAATGTTACAAACTCATTGTAATGTATCATAACATCATTTGTTTGGATTTTCAAAGTTTAATTTTCAACTCAAAATTTTGGAAAAAATTCTCCAAGTTTGAATAGAGATCTCGAACGACTTTTCATATATCTCAAGCAGTAACAAGTAATAGATGTGGCTTTCCTATGGTAGGTTTCATGTAGTTGATGAGCCAAACCATAATCAGAGAATTTTCGGACCGCCATTTTTCATATTCAGATCACCAACTGAAGGTTTTGAAATTTCTCCGTTTAAATACACAATTCATCTACCTTCAATCGCCAATTTTATAATCTGAGCTCACTCGAGGCAGTTATGCCTTTTGATTTTTATCGCCGGTGGTAAGTTCTGGCGAGGGGATACCACTTAGTTGATACGGTTGTAGGGTGAAGTGATGCAGTTTCATAATTATTGGAACCTGTCGATGTGATAGAAGTTTTTCTAACTCTCTTAATCATTATTGATTTTTAGGACATCCTGAAAAATTAAAAAAACACCACGATCCCGATCTCATAAGTGACGCATTTTCGATCATATACATTGTGAAATTTGTCGCAATCAGTTCACTTTCCTGTGTGAGCAGTGCAAAAATCCTTTACGCCGCAAACCTGATCACTGTTTTCAACATAGAATAGAATGGCGCAAAATTCCTATACGCCGTCATTTGTTCACTTACCTGCGCGGTCGCTCCTTTATTTTTCCTTCGAATTCTCTCTTTGTTGATGCGCTTGGGTCTAAATCATAGCGATGAAGCAGGCTTAACCAGTCTTCTCCTTCCTATTCCTTGCTTTTTTTTTTTCTGCTATTCATTCCTTGCTTTCCAATATGATGAGCTAATCTTAGACGACGAAGACTTCGTTCTCGAGGACAATCACCTCTGACCTAGGTCCGTACGCAATAATCACTGACCTAGATCATGTGACACCTAAAGTAACGTATTCGAGGATTCGAGCTATTTGCTCGCCAGAACCTTCACACTCGAACCCAGGGAAGGCAATGGCAGATGAAGGCAACAACGATCGAATAGTACAAACACAGGGAAAGCGGCATTGATCGAACTTGTATTCTCCTTTCTTATTTTTTCTGGCACTTTTACCAATTTCTTCTCTTCCTCTAACCCCTACCTCTCCTCTTTCTGTTTGTTTTTTTTTGACCTGGGACATAAAGGACAATTTCCTATTAGCCCTTACCTCTCCTTTTTCCGAATTTCTTTCTGAACTCAGTTATAGAGTACTGTTTCTTGTTTATCTAAAATTTTCACCTGAACTCCCAACAATCTTTCAGATCACTAATGCCTGGATCGTCAGAAAGTAGACAGAATGAAATCACATCCCAACAATTTATGGGGGCTGATTATAATTCTACAATCATTGATTTAATTTTTCTTAACGTTCTTTTCATTTTCGGTAACTCCAATTCCTTGCATCCAAGCACTGACTAAAGGTTTTAATCACTTGCCAGATAAATGGAAACCATGAAACAATGAATGTGGAAGGTGATTTTAGATTTGTTGATCCAGGGGCTTTTGACGAGTCTATCGACTTCATTGAATACTTAGATGAACATCAGAACTGGGAGGAAGCTTTTGTTGGATGGATTGGTGTTTCCGAAAGATGGAAGGAGGATAGAAAATCATCCCAAGACCATCGGAATCCTTGGAACCTTATCAAGGTACTAAAATTTTTTTGGAATTACGTTTCTTAATGCAATCTGCTTAAATTTCTTTTTGCATATGGGTGCAATTCAGAATTAGGGTTTGTGAGGTTGATCTGTTTTCTTAGACTTATTTGTGCAAAAATGTTCTGTGAAAATTTGGCTTTTCTCTCTTGCAACTGGATATACTAAAAAGCATAATATAGATGAATTTCAATTTAACTATAATTGGCTCTCTTCTTTTTCAGGATCTCTAACCGTTGACCTCTTTTTAGAGGAAAGGGCAAATACAATGCACGGAGAAATATCTCTTTTTTTAATTTTTTTTTTTTTAGTCATTCAATCATGCGGAGAAATGCTCTCTAAATGATTGCATTATGACCTTTGTTTTTTGAAGAGAGAACAATATTGTCATTTATATGAAGGGATTTTTTCAAATTAAAATAATAAACCAAATAATAACTCCGAGCTAATCAAGCAAATAATTAATACTCTTCACAAATAAAATATCTCCTAAACACCCTTTTATCAGAAAAAATATTACCTCAGGAGTACTGATGCATCAGTACTCTAATGGTGAGGTGTCACGTGGCGCCACGGTGGGACCATTACATATGTGACACCTCACCATTGGAGTAATGATACACCAGTACTCCTGAGGTAATATTTTTTCCTTTTATCATGATAGTTTGTTAGAATAACACTTGGGGTCTACGTGGTAATACTAAGAATATTATTAAGTTTCTCATAATACTGATTGATTTATATATTAGGGCAGAGAAAGAAGGGCATTGTTGCTAGATCGTCTCTTCTGAGGCCAGGTGGTCTGTTATCTTGTGAATTGGCGCGCCATGCTGTCATATTGAAAGTAGATGACTGGGTGTTTTGTCATGGAGGCCTACTTCCTCATCATGGTAAAAGCTTGTTACAGCAATTTTTTTTTTAAGGGAAATTTTCATACATAGCACATAATTCTTATGAATTTACATATCTCACACCTAAACTTTCATATTTACATGCATGACACCCTTTGGTGCTTTAAACTATGCTTGAGGAGGTATATTTCACTTTTAAAAAGTTGTAATAGCGTTGTTTTTGATGTGGTATTAAATGTTTGAGTGTTGTGTGTAAATATGAAAGCTTAGGTGTGAGAAATGTAAATACAAAAGAATTTTGTGCAATGTATGTAAATGCCCATTTTGTTATGTTCTATTCATTTACGGAATTAGCTTATTCTCTGTTATAGTTGTCATATCGAAAGTGTTCTCAAGAGCATGAAAATAAATTTTGAAACTTTGTTAACTCTGATTACATAATGCAAGCTGATGATTAGTATGAATGGGATTTATAGCGTCTTTCGTTATTGCGGATTTTGAGATGACTTTCCTCTTTGTTAGCTCTTGCTTTCTTTGAACATCTTGTCCCGGTCTTACTTTTTTCCTACAAAGCAGGATGCTTCTGCTAAACTGTCACGTACAGTCCGTTGACCCAATGCAGATGAATTTTTTGACGTGTCTTATTTCTTAACTTTCTAAGAGAAAAATTCTGACACTTCTTAGACAACTCATGGACATTTCCTGTACACCTCTTGGTACTTGATAAACTGTCGTGAATCTTTTGTGCGCGCACGCGCTTGTGTGTGTGTATTTGATATTATTCAAGAATTGTCCCATGTAGTGTTATGGTTGATGATAATGTAATTTGTTTGTTTCTCTCTCTTTAATGCTGGAAAATATGAGGCATTTTTTTAAATGTAATCAATGCCTATATACATAGTTCATCTGAAGTTAGTTGAAGAATTCTATCTTTCCTTCACCATTTAAAAGGGTACCATCATTTTCCACTTACTATCCTTCCCTTGATTGGCTAATTTAAAGTTAGGTAAATAATGATAAGTAACCAAAAAATAATTGTAAGAAAAAAGAAAGTAGAAGAGAATTAAGGAGTAAGAAAAGTGGAATTTTTTATGGCCCTTACTTGTCAAAATTTGCCCCCTTATATAGAGGTTTACAGTGAGTAGTCACAGGGAAGAAATAAACGAATCCTGATATGAAAGAAATGTTACATATTATAGTTTTGTTTTTAAAATTTAAAGCTTATTAAATAAAAGCTATAATATGCACGTCAACAATTTATGGGTTATTGCCTTCTAATAAAACAAGGACATATCCTCCAACTCAATATTCTGTGAGCTGCCTATTCTTCAAGGTGTGCCTCAGTAACTTCAAGAATTTTTGCTATGATATGTGCTTCATAACCTCTTATGTTAGTTCTACGTCTCGCAATACATCTATGCCCCAAGCTACGTCTCACCTCAAAGTTTAAGTGGCGTGCTTTTTTTAAGTAAATTCAAATTATATATATTAACTGAAATTTTCCTTTTATTATTGAGAAATTTAATTTTATATATCTTATAATATCAAAAATTCAAGAAATATGCTTACTTCTTGTTTGCTTAGGAAAATATACCCGATAGTTCTTTCAATACAAAATGATCTTGCTTTTAATTACTTTTGGTCAAATTTTTTTTTTCTTTTGAAAAAATGGTTTAATTTAATATAAAAGGTTTATAAATTTTTTTTTATTTTGAAAATGTTGTGTTTTAATTTTAAGAAATGAGACCGAATGGATCTCATTTGTCTAATAGTTTACATAATCGTGTCTGATACAGCGAATAATACACATTCCCGAAAGATAAGTGTATCCCTCGGCGTTGGACCCAATCATACAGACTAAGAGATTTGTGACATCCGTTTAGTTTACGAACCTTTTGTGTATGACCTACCTAATGCGAAGATTAGATAGGGTTTATTTTTACCTGGGTTCCAAGTTCCCTATAAGGGCAAACCCCTATAGTCAATTACTTCCCAAACGACCGATGTCACTTGAGAAAACTCTCGATAATGATCAGAGACTAGTCTTTGAGCCTTCAAGGTTTAGGTTTTTACGGCAGGACTTGGAAAATTAAGTGAGAAAGAACCAAATGAGAGCAGCTATTTTAGGAGTCCAAAGGAAGGAAAAGGTAGAGGATGTCACAGATCATGAGGAGAACTCTCAGTGACTTCTTAAGCTATTCTATTGTGTAACTGTATTTTGGAGGCGATGTTATTTAAGTGTTTAATCCTGCCCAATTTTTTTATTTGGGACTTACACTTCCATAATACCCGATTATGCAAATAACCCGCACAGATAAGAAGGTTTGCGTCGTACCAAACTACATTCTCAGAACCTAAAGAGAGTTAAAACTTATGCTGCACAACACGGTCATACAATAGCCTAAAAAAAAAGTGAGGATTTATGTCGTGCGAGACGAACTACCTCGAAGTCCTATGGATTGTTGTTATTTAAGACTAAAGAGTGATTTAGATGAAGTAGATCTGTTCATGTACTGAGTCTTTTCAAGTTATTTTGCACCTTCTTACATTCTCGTCGTGCTGCCCATAAAGCTTGCTACGAGCTCCGTAACATAACAACTCAGGGTTTAGGGTTTTATGTGTGAGCATACAAATTTGTTTGGTCGGTGGCCTATCGGAGTGTACCTCCTAAACAACTAGTCTATTGTTCTCTACCCTAAAGGTCTTATAAGTTTTGTAAGAAAACAAAACAATAGAGGTGTAATAAAAAAAGACAGTAAAATGTAAAAAAAAGCACAGTAAAGAAAATAAAATGCATGTGTGTACCTGAAATTTCTACCATTGCTGCAAAAATGTTAGTATTATAAACATATCATGCATATATGTACAAAGAATAGAATAATGACATAAAGAAAACACAAGTATGTAGAGCAGACAAGGTGACACACATGTAGAAAATTGAAGTGGGGACCATAAGCATTCAGGCTCGAGGTATATCATTCTCGAAGGACTTCGTAGGCAACCATCGGTCATTCACGTATATAAGGCCTGACATTCAATCATAAATTTCCAACAAGACAATTGAAGGAGGGCAATTCTTGACTCAATACAGGTAACTGACAAGTGAACATTTAAATTGTATCATTCAAAGTTCACGGGTTATCATATATGTAAGCAAAATAGATTTTTATTTAGCAATAAAAAGTATTGATGTTGTAAGGGATGTACTTTTTTTGTCATTGTATTTATATATTTTGTAATTTGGATTGTCCACGAGTCAATTACATAGTCGGGCTAGAACTATCGGTAGCCTAAGAAAGCAAGGGTCATCGCTAGTCTAGTGTCGGTGAATAATATTGCCATCCCACATTCTCACCAGGTCCTTCGGTCAGGTCTCGATGTCGTTGGATGCAATATTATTTTACTTTATTCGCAAATGTCTTTGTCATTACCGCCCTTAAACCCCGAACCGTCCAACTTATGCCCACGCGATGATCCACATATCTCTATACTATACACACTTATATCTCAGTATAAGCACGCAGAACTACATCATCGAGTAAGAAGAAAAAAAAAAACAAATCAACTGGAAAAGAGGAGAGACCGACCCACTTCCAAAAAGCCATCAAAGCAAAGGGGCAAAAATCGTGAGTGAGCCGGCCTAAAAAAATGTTTAAATCTTCCCAAAAAACATCAATTATATCAGCTCGAAATAGCAGGGAAAACCAGGCCAAAGCCGCGCCTAAGCAATACTTCAAATCAGCCAACGAAAATGCTCCAAAATGGTGCATAGATTGCTTCAAATCAACCCACCAAAAGACCCCAAAAAATAGTGCATGGATTGCTTCAAATCAACCCACCAAAATGCCCCAAAACAGTGCATATATTGCTTCAGATCGGCCAACGAAAATGCCCCCAAAACAACACTTTAGACAGCCCCAAACAGCACTTACAAGCCCAAAACATTACTTTTATAAGCCCAAAACAGCACTTTGGACAGCTCCCAAACAGCGCTAATATAAGCTATCCCAAGAATTATCTTAGATACCTAGAAAGAAATAGTTTGTATGCGAACTGTGCTTAGACATAGCCTACAATAGTATCAAATCAGAGGTTTAAATTTGATCATATACGCTATCAACAGTAGAATTCAAGGTCCTTTCATAAACACATAAACTGAAACAGTTGAATACACATTTAGCACATAAGCTTCAGACTTGCATAAAACCAAGGTTATCAAGAATTTCAAGAACTTGGGCGTTAGATATGCGAACATATAGAAATTGACCGGTATGCATTTAAATGCCAAAATGACAACTATCAAAGTTTGTGTACAAAAAATAATTTCTTAAAAGGGGGATGATGAATCACCGCATCCCTCAAAGCCTAAACCCAATTTAAAACATTATAAACAGATCAGCTAAAGACTCAGGTTCAAGAAAAAAAAAATGGCAGCATCAATTGCTTGGCGATTGTTATCAGAACATCTATGATTACCTCCCTCAGGTTAAGTATGAGAAAACTGATAGTTAACAATAAAGTCCTATATCCAAAACTTTTGAAACTGATGTGTCAATCACTGTTAAGGATAATGCCAATAATTGCTACTGATAATGCCAAAAACTGAATAGAATGGAGCACGGGAAAACTCCATCATGCAAGGTCCCAAGTGGGTGGCAAAACGTCAGTGCATGTAACTTTCCAAATCAGATAAGCTCTTACCAATTACATTTGACAACACACACCACAAAATAGACTAGGGCAACAATCCAAGCAGCAAAGCATCTACCAATTACATTTGGCAACCCTTTTTAACAGAAGCAGCAAATTGCTTCGCATTTGCATGTATAGCACCCTCAATAAGGCCCACTAAGTATATGTACCGACAGCCTCGTAATGAGGTAAAACACCAAAGCTATAATGCAGTAAATACAATCGTCCAACCTGACAATCTAGACCAACAACAAGAATGCATGCCTGTGGAGAAGATTTTAGGGGTATTTGACTATCAGCTTTTGTGCGGGATTGAGGGGTTTCAAGCAACCATTTAGGGGCTCCCT